GAACGGAATGAAGAACCGACCTTATTGGTACAATAATTATTTATAAGGAAAATTTATCGAGTAGGATCTTATTAGATTCATAATAATGTGTATTGAATTAATGTAATTTTATAAAAAAATTTCAATCCAAAATTAAAGATATTTAGCTATAAAGAACAATACATGTGACAATGATGATAAAGTGTGTCAAAACCCAATTTGACTATTTAATAGTGCCACAGGCCTTGTTTTTAATTAGTTGTAGGAAAGGGGAAAAAAATCGACCACTATATATATATATATATATATATATATATATATATATATATATATATATATATATATATATATATATATATATATTTTGACAATAGCAAAGGAAAAAAAATCGACCACTATGAACACTAGTTCCCTCCATTTAAGGCCTCTACTCTTTACCTTTAAAAACATTAATATTACGTAGACCTCTAAATATGTAACACGTGGAAATTTTAACTGGTATACTCGATCATAATAAGCTAGGAGCTGTTTAAGAAGGATCCCTTCAAGGTTGGTACCATCATGATCACTAGAGTCTTTTAAGGAAGAATGTCTATTGTTAGAAATTAACTTTTAAGAAGAATTCAAGAATATCTAACTAGCTTATTACACAGTACATAATTGCAGATTTTGGTGTGACGATTAAAGTAGGATGGGCTGGGCATCATACACACATCAAAAAAAAAAAAAAAAAAAAAAAAAAAAAAAAAAATCATTTTACTTGATTCTTCCTTTCCTTGTTTTATGTCAAATATGGCCCGATAACTAGAAGATCAATAGATAGTTGAGGGGGTACTATTATATGAGAATGTGAGAATTTTAAATTCCGTCAAAAGGTGTGTATCTTGTAATTTGGTTTTCGCTTAGTTCTTTAATTAAAAAATTAAAAAAAAAAATAACTAAAAATAAAAAAAAAATTAAAAAATAAAAAAAAAAAACCTTAATCAATGTTGTGATGAATTGGAGAGAATAATATTGGGATTCATCCTTTAATTGTGATCATTTTGATTGAGTTAATTTATTTTAAGTAGTAATTTTTTGGGTGAATTAGTGTTGTCATTTAACATTTAATGTACGTGGTATGAGCAGCAATTGGCATATGAGTATGCAAGAGGAGCATGCCTATTGCTAGCAGCGAGAAAGAGAGCAAAGCCTCCGAGATGTAGCCTATATGTGCCTTGAGCTTGGTTCACCAGATTCTATTACAGTTACTGCCGATGTTTCAATTGTTGATGATTGCAAACGAATTGTTGATTCCGCCATATCACACTTCGGAAGGGGTAAGTTGCACTAGCTTTTAATATTTTATATCTATCTTACACTCCTAGCCACCCGATAGGTAATAATATTCTCAATAGGCCAGGTCTTCAAAGGGTGGCTCTAATATAAGAACTCAATAGATGCATCTATTTTGGATAAATCTTCATTTAGCTAAACCAAGCCTACTCCCACGGACAACATGACTATACCATAAAAGCCCTACGTGTCTACAACCTAAAAACAATTGGTAATATATGGAGTAGCACGCCAAACTTATAAGTTATGCTACGTTACCTTGATCTCCTTCAATGTAAGACAATTATTCTTGACACTTCTGTATTATTAATTTATTAATTATTATCTTAACAATTTCTCATTATATTATCTATTGCCAAGAAGTTCACTGCAATTTTATTTCTAAAGAAAAGATGCCCTAAGATTTCAATTTATTGTGTTGATGATATATTGATTTTGTTAATTGAAGTGGACCATCTGGTGAATAATGCTGGCATTACATCAATTAGCATGCTTGAAGATTATGAAGATATCATTATACCAGCATCCATCATGGTAGATTCTTTCTTTTAGTATGTACGACATCCATTTTTCTTTTTCCCGCGTTTAATTTGAAATATACAGAATATGGCATTAGTCATTTAGGTCTCAACTATTATATATTTATCACTATTTGCAGGATATCAATTTTTGGGGTGCTATATATATGTAACTCATTTTGCAATTCCACACCTTAGAAAAACTGAAGGAAAGATCATTGTCATGTCTTCCTCGGCTGCTTGGTTGCCGACCCCACGAATGAGCATTTACAATGTATGAATTGTCTTCGTCTACAATCAATAAAATACGCGACTTGGTTATAAGTTTAAGGTAATGTTATAATTTTCAGGCAAGCAAAGCAGCAATGATAGCCTTCTATGAGACAATAAGGTAGAGCTCGGGTTAGATATTCAAATAACTATAGCAACTCCTGGATTTGTAGAGTCTGAAATGACAAAAGGGAAGCACCTTGCACCCGAAGGTTTGATGAATGTGGATGTGAACTTGAGAGATGTAAGATTTTATTGATCTTATTTCTAATTTGTTATTATCAGTAGTAATCATAATCAATTCCAACAATTGATTTAATCATTTTGAATAAAGGAAATTCTCCTTAATTCCCCTAAACATATATGTATGTTAACCACAAAATTTTAATGGAAAATAATACTATAAGGTTATGTATACTATTTTCTTATGTGAGTAAGCTTGTGATTAATCATAGGTGCAAGTGAGTGCATCACCAATAGTCACGGGACAAAGGTGCGCGAAGGCCATAATAAACAGTGCATGTAGGGGTGATAGATATGTGACGGAACCAACATGGTATAGGGTACTAAGCTGGTGGAAAGCATTCACTCCGGAGCTCCTAGACTGGTTTTTCTCGGCGTTCTATCTTATCAAGATTGGTGATTCACCCTTTAATTCATTAAGCAAGATGATATTGGATCTCCCCGGGTTAAGGGCTATGGTTTATCCATCTTCAGTCTACTCACCCGGAGTCAAAACCAAGTAATATGTTACTCTTGTATTGCTTGTTGTGTCTTAATAGTCTAGATAGCCAAAAATATAAAAAACTGTTGGTTCTTTCATCATGGACTTGCAACAATTATACGTTGTATTACATAGTACGAGTACCAAATTATGTATTGGGCTAGTTTATATTATATTACTTGGTTCATTGGATGTCCTACTAAATGCAAGTTATTACTCTAGGAAATAATTATATTATGTACCATAATCTCATACATTAAGTAAGAGTTATTCTTGTACGATCCTTCTCGGCTAGATGTGTAATTTTTTGGCAAAAAGTAAATTGTGTAAGGGACTTTTTATCTTTATTTTTTTGCCCCATACCTAATAATTGGTATAATTTTAATAACTTTGATTATAGATTCCCATTAATATATAAGAAATTTATAGTCTGTTACCGAATATTTACGTTTTTAACACCCATTTTGAAGACGATGGGCAAAAACATAGAGAAAAAGGGAGTACCAGTTACCATACAAAATCAAGCAAAAACAAACTACTTTTTGACAATTTTCCATACATGAATAGTTTTTTTTTTTTTGGACAAGCCATACATGAATAGTATTATATTGTCGAAATAAGTCATTAAATTGACAATATAAGCTTACGAATTGTTGATATATGCAATAAAATTTTGGATATTAGTAGTACAAGCTAATAAGGCCCAGTTTACTTCACCTAATTTTTGCTGAAATGAAACTAATTTCACTGAACTGAAATTATTTTAGATATAAAGAAATTATTTTTACTAAACTAAAATTAATATTACTGAACTGAAATTATTTTTGCTGAAATGAAATTATTTTTACTTATTCTCTTTTATATTTCTTCTTTAGAGTTACTGATTTTTAATGAACTGAAATTATTTGTACTGAACTGAAATAATTTTTTCTAAGCAGAACTTATTTTTACTAAAACAAAACTTATTTTTACTGAACAAAATTATTATACTGAACAGAAGTTATTTATACTGAGCTGAAATTATTTATACTAAACTAAAATTATTGACATATACAAGCAATTGAAACATCAATATAAGTTATTAAATTATTAAGGTGTTAATATGAATTATTAATTAAATTGCTGATTAAAGCCATAAAATTATTGATACAAGTCACTACATTGCCCGAATTTAAACTACAAAATTGTTGATATTGTTAGGAAATAAGGGGTGTAATTGTCTTTTATCAATGCGGAACAAGTCAATAAAAAATAAGAACAAGAAAAGCAATAAAGAAAATAAACAAAGAGCACAAGGATTTACGTGGTTAGGTCAAATTAGACCTACATCCATAAGTGAGGGATTCGAGAGTTTCTTCACTATAATGGAGAAATAACGAGAGAATAATACAAGGAGTCCTAAATCTAATAATGGCTTAAAATGTATGATCTAATTGATCAGCTAAGGGGTCCTTTTATAACATAAAGAAACCTTAATTAAACCCTAAAATTGTTCCCCAAGTATATATAGTCAAATAGTCGTCATAGAAAAGATATAATTTTAGGATATCATCCCTAAAATAATTAAGCTAAAACCGGACCTAAAATTTTGAGATTTCGACTAGGCACTCAAGCACTTCGTCAAGTCTTTGTAAAACGGTCATAATTTTCTCGTTTCTTATCATAATTGAATATTATCATTGGAAAGCTCTTGAACCAAGCTATCACTTCCAACTTGAATCACCTCAAAATCACTTATAATTTGAGGGATATCTGCATTCAAAGTCAGTCCTACTAGATTTCGAGTCACAAATTAACAGATATAAGCACAAGCATTATCGATATAAATTATTGAACACTTGATCTAAATTATTAAATTGATTATACAAGTCATTAATTTGTATAGGAGTTGATAAATTTGCTACATAATTCATCATACATATTACATCTTTAAATACTACATTGTGTTTGTATAGGTGTATTTGTGTTTCCTAATATAATCGCACAAAATATACTCCTTGCTAACGTGTCTTACATATCGTATAGAAGGTCTAAATTGTTGCCACATCACACCATATTGGAAATTGGATCGAGTTTCCATCTTCCATGCCAAATTTAGTGTACTAAATCACTTAATATCACACCCACCTTTGATCCCTCTCTTTCTCTTATACACAAGACAAGCTAAATTAGCTATGAAAAACCTTATAAATCAGATTCTAGACGTTGCAACTTCATGCTTAGCTTTCATAGCACTAATCTTTATTCTTCCACCTTTCTTATGTTTGAAGTTCTTTCTCTCAAGTCTAAATTTCATCTTCAGCGAAAATGTGTCCGGAAAAGTTGTGCTCATTACCGGAGCATCCTCCGGCATTGGCGAGGTTCGTCTATCCCTAAAATTGTTTTGTTGTCTCTATGGTTCCTTTCGTTTTTACATGCAACATGTTTGACTTTAGCATTATTTATAAGCAATGTTTATTATTTTATGTTGCAGCAATTAGAGGCTCAGAGTTGGGCATTTCCCCTAATAAAAATTTATCCGTTAATATCTTCGGAATATAAAACTTGATGTTGTGAGAGTATAATGATAAATTTAATAAGACTCCACTTAATTATATTTTTCCTTACTTTTAAATTAATATGCGTAGTCAATGAATAGTGAATGAATAGTAGAAAACCTAATCGTTGTTATAATTAACACGTCAAAATTCTAAGCATATAGCGTGAGATTCAAATTTTATGACTTTGGATTGAAGATCGTGAAAAGTCAAATAAACAATATTTTAAAAATGAAGTGCACAAAATCTAGTTGTATCTAGGCAAAGCAATATGTTAAATCACAATTACAAAAACCTACGCCACATTTGTCATTTCGCCGTATGTCACAAATCGTGGAAATGGTAATGGAGTTGTATGTAATTTTTGTTAGGATTTCTTGTACGTGTTCATCACCATGGCGATGAAAATAAATCCCAACATATGTGGTTTCGTGCATAAATTTTCATTACCCCATACACAGTACTACATTTAAAATGATAATAGATGGTAACGAAAATTTGTAAAGAAAATGACAGAGAGAGAAGCATTACCTATATTGCCATGAATTTTTATTTTTTTCCGTAATTGCTAAAATAAATCATCAGTTCTACGGCTCTACCTCTACCACTAGTCCACTACAAAATCAAACGGGTCTTTTAGACATATAATTCTAGACAATATTTAAGTAAGAATAATTTATCATGTTATTCTACCAATGGCATTGTTAATCTGTTTGCATCCCAATACTTGGTTTTTTTTTTTAAATTGGCAAAGTAAAGTTGATGTGTATTTTTGTATTGGAAATACTTTTGTATTAGTTTGCACTACCACTTTGTCATTCTCTCACAGATGATAATATGATATTGACTTGTTTTGATCCTCAAATAAAGCATCTTGCATATGAGTATGCAAGGAGAGGAGCCAAATTAGCCCTTGTAGCCAGACGGCGGCAACGTCTCCAAGATGTTGCTGAAACCAGCCGTTATCTTGGTGCACCTGATGTTCTTGTCATCTCGGCAGATGTTACTAAAGTTGGAGAATCTAAGCATTTCATCAATGAAACAGTGAATCATTTTGGTGGATGTAAGTAAAGTTTATGCTTAAAGCTTTGCATTGACTACATGGGTATATGCATTAATGCATAACATATTGAATTTACTACAGGATTAATTAGTGCAACAGAAATATAACTACAAGAAGATTTTTTACATGTATGCTACACAACAGTAACATTATTCATAACCAAAATAATTATTTAGTACAGAAAAGATATCATCTTACATTCAAACACTAGATGCAAAAAATATAATTAAACCACGATATTATTTAAATTGGTGTAGAGAGCCACAGGACAATGACGTAACAATTTGATCAGGATAACCCCCCCCCCCCCTCCCAGCTCCCCCGGGGTGTAAGTTGATCATCCACATTACACTAGAATTTTATGATACAATGAAAACATGTGAATATTTATTGACGAAGCTTCTATCATTTATAATATACCATAAAGTACGTAAATACAATGAGCCATTATGGCAGGGTGGGAGGGAATCATAGCAAACAAGCAATTTAACAATTTGTAATTGACAATTTGTCCTTGCATTCACGCACCCTGCAATGAAAGTGGATCATTTGTTGAACAATGCTGGAATTTCCACAATGAGCATGTTAGAAGAATTCCCTGACATAACAAATGTTGCACCTGTGATGGTAAATCTTGTTCATTAATACTTTTCAGCTTCTGTATACTGGTTTAACCCTTGCATTAAGCCGATACAGCTTATTTTAATGATTCACCACTCCTGGAGATCTTTTCAGGAAACGAACTTCTGGGGCTCAGTGTATAGTACCCACTTTGCAATTCCACATCTAAAAGCAAGCAGAGGCAAGATAATAGTTACTGCCTCGTCTGGAGCCTGGTTGCCTGTTCCACGAATGGCTTTCTACTCTGTGAACATCTCACCATACTTGATAAAACCGATTCTATGTTTATTATTTCTTCATCTCACTTGTTCACCTATGGCCCTTACAGGCAAGTAAAGCAGCAGTTTTAAGCTTCTTCGAGACATTGAGAGTTGAGCTTGGAGGAGACATAGGGATCACAATTGTAACTCCTGGGCTGACTGAATCAGAATTGACCAAAGGAAAGATCCTCTCAAAGGATGGCAAAATGGTACTTGATCAAAATATGAGAGATGCAAGTTTGCCTCGTATCTTTTCTAGAGTTGCATTTCAAAAAATAAGATAATGATACTATGTTCAGTTACAGCATATACCATGATGTCTATCATATAAGGCATAAGGCAAATCTTCTATGCAATGAATTCTTTCATTCATGTCACCTGCAAAATATATCTAGAAACACTTGTGTTAGTAAAATATATAATAAAAACATAGAAGGTAACTAGAAATACCACAGCAACTAATCAAGCTCGTTAGAAAAAATACTGTGAAGTTGATGATGGCCTTACTAAATTCGTAGGAAACACTAATTATACTTCACACTAAGAAATTTGATTGAGCAACCTACATTAAACTCGATCAACTCATTTATATCTAATAAAAACTTCTGAAACAAACATTAATCACAATTTCATCTAACAAAAAGTGTAGTAAGACAGTCTCGAGAGATGATGGAATCAATCAAAGCCTTAATCCCATAAGTGGGGTAAAGCTGATGGAATATAGTGTAGATAATAATTAAAATTCTAATCTGAGATTGGTGAAATTCTCTTATATTAACCAGTCTTTTCGAAGTGTAAACATCATATATTTACATATCATATAAACCAAACTTTTCAAAGAGAGGAAAAAAAAAAGTGGAAACACATGATGTTTGCATCTTAGGTAGCAGAGTGTTCTCCACAAAACTGCATCTAAACCAATCTTTACAACGTGTTAACATCATATGTTTACAGCACAAGTACTGAATTTAGTTATCTGCTGCATATTTTATGCCAGGTACAAATTAGTGCAGTCCCAGTAACATCAGCGGATAGATGTGCAAAGGCCATTATAGATAGTGCTCGCCGTGGTGACAAATATTTGACAGTGCCATCATGGATGAGGGTAACAATCCTATGGAAGGTATTTCTACCTGAAGTACTAGAGTGGTGCAACCGAATGCTCTTAGTGGCTGGACCTGAAAGACCGCCAACAGAAGCGCCTAGCAAGAAATTCCTGGATCTTACTGGATTACAAAAGGTCATGTATCCACCTTCAATCCAATGACAAAAGTCCACAGTTGTAACCATTGGATTGAGGTGTCCCACAGGCGGAAAAAC